TTTCGTGCTCTTTCTTCAGTGACCTCCAAACGGTGTGGAGACACTTGCTCAGTTGGTATAGATGGGTCTGGTGTCTGAGGAACATTATAATGTAAACTTCATTAAAAGGTTATGGAGTCTGAAGGTCATTACTGTTGTCAGTACAAAGGAACAATGAACCAAAGACTGATGGAGAAGCAGAAAGAAAACTCCTCTTTACTCCTGATAAATTCCATCCGCATTGTTCAAGTAAAACGCCATCAGGATTGGCCTACACTCACGACTGTTTATGCTTGGGCCTGTTAGTTGTGCGCTCCAGATTACTGGAAACAATTTCATTCTGGAAAGGCACATATAAACACAGGAGGGGAAAATTAGAGGGTGCACATGCCTATAACTCCACTGGTCCATCATAATTCTCTGTCGAACCTGCCCTGCATAACGCAGCGCTGCAGACCACAGTATGTGCCATATTTATTTGGCTAGGCTAGTGTGGAGTAAGCAGGTCCAGGCCAGGCTTTCATAGAGGAATACCCATTCCTTTTGGACTGGTGGAAGAAAAATAACTCTTGCCTCTGACATTTCACATCATGATTTTGGCCAAGTCATTATGAACTACTTACAAATAACGAAAATAACAGTATAAGATCCAAAATCTTGCGCTCATTAAAAAATGTAAGTAGCGAAAACCAGTTGGCGTCAAGTCAAGTCACCTTTATTTATATAGCATTTTATACAATACAGATTGTTCTAAAACAGCTTTACAGTGATAACAGGCTGTTGTTCAGCTGAAGTCAGTTCAGAAATGCATAAAAATGCCCAAAATATTATGTCATCATCCAGCTCAGTTCAGTTCTCATACAACAGTGTCAGTACAGTCAGATCAATAATATTGTTGAATATTAGGTGTCCCAAACTAAGCAAGCCAGAGGCGACCCAGGCTCCTAACGGATGACGAAGACTTGACAGAGCAGCCATTCAAGTGTTACGAGTGGAGGTTTTTGTTGTCCAATAATTAGAATATCTGGGGGGGGGGTTAAAGTAAAGTACTAGTCATCCAAGTTTTTAAATCAGCTATGCATTCCGATAAGTTTGAGAATTGGTATGTTTCATCAGGGTGCAAAGAAATATAGAGCTGAGTATCATCAGCCTAACAGTGAAAACTAATGTCGTGCTTCCTAATGATACTGTATCTACCAAGGGTAGCATGTACAGAATGAAAAGCAATGGTCCTAGTACTGAGCCTTGAGGTACGCCACACTGAACTTCTGATCGGTATGACATCTCTTCATTTACTAAATTTGTAACTGTCAGATAAGTATGATTTGAACCATGCAATGCAGTTCCACTAATACCAATGTAATTTTCATGTCTATTAAAAACAGTGAAAAAAAGTCCTGATTCAATGCAAATCTCGGTAAGACTTTAAAATAACATTTAATTTGTTAACAATAGTTTACTATATTAGTTAACATGAACAAATGAGCACTACTTCTACAGCATTTCTTAATATATTTACTAATACATTTTTCAAATACTAATACTTTTACTTAATAATCTAATGATTTACATTTACATTTATTCATTTAGCAGACGCTTTTATCCAAAGCGACTTACAAATGAGAACAATAGAAGCAGTTAAACTAACAGTAGGACAACAATACGTAAGTGCTATAACCCCTCTCAGTTTAATTTTAGTGCAGTGTTTTTTATTTTATTTTTATTTTTATAGAAGATAAGAGAAAGTGTTAATTCTACTGAATCAAGTGCTGCCGAAAAAGATATGTCTTCAGCAGTTTCTTGAAAGTGGCTACTGACTCAGCAGCTCTGGTTGAGTTAGGCAGATCATTCCACCAACAGGGAACAGCCATGGTAAAGGTCCGAGAAAGAGATTTTGTGCCTCTTTGAGATGGTACCACAAGACGACATTCGCTAGCAGAGCGCAGGTTTCTGGATGGCACATAAGTCTGAAGTAATGAGTTTAGGTAAGAGGGAGCAGTGCCAGTGGTTGTTCTGTAGGCAAACGTCAGTGCCTTGAATTTAATGCGAGCGGCAACTGGCAACCAGTGCAATTGTGTGAGGAGAGGAGTGACGTGTGCTCTCTTCGGCTCATTGAAGACTACTCTGGCTGCAGCATTCAGCATTCAGATTTTTGGCATAAAAGAAAAATCGATCATTTTGACCCATACAATGTATTGTTGGCTATTGCCACAGATATACCCGTGCTACATGTGACTGGTTTTGTGATCCAGGGTCACAAATGCTTTTAAAAATATGTTGCTCGCTGTTAATTCCTGTTTACTAATGCTTACAAATGGAACCCTATTGTAAAGTGTAACCAAATGCCATTATTAGAGTTAGCCATGTTCATTAAAAACAAGCGGTACATTTTCTGTGGTGGATGATCTCCGTATGACATTTGCCAGATTTAATTAGCTCTGACTGTTTCCCTCAGAAATGAGCGAACCTTAAAATTATATTTACAAAACTAATTGAGATTAAATTTCATCATTTGAGTCACTAAATAGACCAATCTTGCCTTTTGAAATTTGAATTGTAAAGGTGAGCTCTAAATAATATGTTGTGGATATTCAATGGAACTTATTATACTCGATTATCTATTTTAATAAGCGAGGGACGTTTGCCATCATCATGCTTTTTTTCTGTCACGCCCTTTAATTGTTTTCACAGTCTCATTTCTATACAGTGAAAGTCTGTTTTGAAGGGAACTTGTAATGAGGTAGCAGGTGTTTTCACCAGCGTTCTTGTGGTCTCACACAGTATGGAAGCAGAAAATGACTACTTCGTCCAATGAGCCAACTGTGAAGAGTGTGTGGTAAACCTCTTCTCACACATTAATGAATATCTGCATAGCACTTCATGAGAGATTTCTGTTATCTAAATATTTGAGTTGCGGTTTAGACTGCCCAGGCAGCTGGTAAGAGTGCGATTCTTCAATGGCACACATGAGACCTAGCATGGCACTGAGTCTTAGAGCGACAGGTTAATGGGAAACAACGAGCAGATCTTCAAAACGGTGAGATTGGAGCATGATGTTGTGTGTCTCAGGCATCCAGTAGATTCTGTGACTTCGTAAACTCTTCATCATAAATATGTAGCATAATAAACTTGGCAGTGGGTCTTTCTCCTCTCTACGCTTGCCAGAGAAGAGAATGCATCAGAAACCATTGATATTAATGAAAATGACTGCATATTGGCACTGATTCTTGAGGACTAGGACAATGTATCAAACCATTGCATTTTCTTCATAAAAATGTGTATATTTCCTATAATTCCTATGAGTCAAAACCATCAGATACAAAAATGATCACATTTCAAATGCTGATTATGTATAGACAAATCTAGCACTGAATGAAACTACGGCTTCATTTTTTTACCTGTCACCACAGTCTGACTGAAAGCGGATGGTGTTGATAAAGTCATAGGCCCACTTCACATATCACACATACTAAATGCAGTAGCCATATTGTTTTGAAGTGTTGCTATGTGCTAAAAAGACCTGCTTAAAAAATCACACAGATTGTCTGAAAACAAAATCCCAAGTGGTTTATTTAGACTTTTTTTAGACATATATAAGAAAGACAAATTGAACTACTTAGGTAGTTGGTGTACTTAGGTTCACATTCGGTAGGTTTGGTTCGATTAAAACGAACTCTGTTAGTGGGGTTAATTAGAATAAGTGTGAACGCTGCCATCAGCATTGAAAAGATGGTTCTCAGTCCGCTTGACAGGACATGATGTCACAAGATGCGACCATAAAAAGGACAGAATGCTCAAGCATACCTGGTTCTTCTCGTCATAGTTGCGATGTTGCCAACGCCATCTCACGACCGATTAGTACGAGTGAGTGTGTGAACTTGAACTTAGAGCAGGTGAGATGATTTTCAGCCTTTTTTTGACACTTCTGAATTGTGATACACAAATAAATCAGGAAATTTTAAATGTAGCCTACAAATTATTAATCCTATCAGACCGTATATACTGTATATGTATGAAATGCATATCAAATGTATGTATCTTTGTGTAACTGACCTATAAGAACTACTACTGTGTGTGTCACTGTTATCTGAATGATGTCAGCTGGTTTAGTGTTTCAAAGAGACATTCAGATGACCAAAAGACAGTCAGTTATCTATAGCTTATTTACTTAAACACACACACAAAAAAAGCTCTCTATAGAAGTTTTTTTCTTTCATGCGCTATAGGGGTTCCCATCATTGTACCATTTTATGGATTTGGTTTTAATTCATCTTGTTTTGATTTATTTTTAATAAAAATGTATGAATTAAACGTATACTTTATCACTGGGGGGAATGAAATAAATGATTGCATGATACTTTCATCTTTAAAGACTTTTTTGGTATAAAGTGCTCTTTAAAATTAGGTCAAGAACCCTAGGGTTCTATAAGAGCACACACATATGAAACCATTACACCTGGTTCCATAACTATTCTTGCTTATGTAATACATGTCTGTCATTTGTACAGCATTAGACACACAACAGAACAAAATTGGTCCATTCTCATATGTTGCAATTTATCCAATACAACACCCTAAAAAGTCTAGCAAAGATCACAAACAAACCAGGTTTGTCGAAATGATTAAGTTCTAACTTTATTATATTTAGAATCAAGACTGTAGTGCATCCTAAAGGTTTGCTTTGACTGCACTGCGCACAAGGTGTGTGATGTCTGATAAACGCACGCCACCTGGTTTCCCGAAGTGAAACTCCTCTGGGAGTGCGTGGGATAAAGGTGAGCAAAGACGCAGGTGAGCCCACCTTACAGTGACGAAACCCGTTTCACGTCAACAGAGCAATTCATCACGAGTCTAAAAGCGATGTTTGTCCACATACGCACGACCGCGTTATTTCAAAACAGGGTGTGCATGATCCCTGAGTGTTTTTGTAAGATTTAATATTTTTTTTAAGACTTAAAGTCAGCTCCCGAGGCCCCGCCCCCTGTAGGCTTACCCGGAGGTGAGCTGCTATATTAGACAGCTGAGCGCGCGCTCGGGATGTGAAGTGCTTTATCTTCAGCAGGTACAGTTCCTGTCACTCTCACACTGTTGCGTTTGACAGCGCGCGTGGCTATTCGAGCGCTTTTTTGGGGGGAGGGAACTTGGCTTTTGCGCGAACAGTTAATACTGTCACAGAATGAAACTGGAAGTTTTCTGCGGGGGTCACTACGACTCCAAGCCCGTGGAGCTGTGCAGCGACGCCGAGGGCAGTGTCCCGTCGCCGATGTCCGCGGAGGACGAGCTGGGCTCGGATGGAGACTGCGTGGCGCACAGTCCCGCACCTGTTCCTCCGGACGCCGAGAGCAAAGCCAAGCCCTATACGCGGAGACCCAAGCCCCCGTACTCTTACATCGCTCTCATCGCCATGGCCATCCGGGACTCGGACTCAGGCCGTCTCACTTTGGCTGAAATCAATGACTACCTCATGAAAAAGTTCCCGTTTTTTAGGGGCACCTACACCGGCTGGAGGAACTCAGTGCGGCACAATCTGTCCCTGAACGACTGCTTTCTGAAGGTGCTGCGGGATCCCTCCAGGCCGTGGGGAAAGGACAACTACTGGATGCTGAACCCGCACAGCGAGTACACCTTCGCGGACGGAGTGTTTCGCCGGAGGAGAAAGCGCATCAGCAAAAAAACCGGCAAGGAGCCAGAGGGGCCGAGCCAAGCTTCCGCAGGGGACACGTGCAGGGACTCTATCGCGACGCCTCCTTCCAGCGTCAAGTTCACGAGCTCTTTCGCCATTGACAGCATCCTCAGCCGACCTTTCAGGAAAGAGGAACGCCCTGTTCACAAACCTGACACCTGGCAGGGGGGAGTGGACATGATGCCCTATGTCATGCGGGGCTCCCCTGTCCGATCCTATGGGTCTCCCGAGAACCCTGCGATCAGCTGCCGTCACCAACGGGACTTTTTCCCTTTCCTGCCCCCATCCGAGTGCCTCTCGATCCCGCACAACCCCGTGCCCGCGTACAGCCCGTTCAGGATTGAGTATTTGTTGTCATAATATTGCTGGTCTAGGGTGGGGAACTTCGGCACTTTCTGAGCACTCGTGACTTGACACAGACATTTTCGCAAAACACATTTCACCCGCCTGCATAAATCGCCTTAATTTGCTCCGGGAAGTTTTGTGCAAAATGAAAAGGAGTGAAAAGACAAAGTTGTGAACTATTTAATGTACTAATTTTTTTTTTGTGCTACTGAACGGTTATGTTGTTTTCAATGTATTTATTTGACTTTAAGTGTGTTGAACCAGGCGCCTCAAAAGATTCTCATGAAAGTTAAATATGATTGTGTTCATTTCACATTTGCTATTCGAGAGACAAACTCAGTTCATGATGAAAGTGAGGCTCCTGCATCAATCTCGTTAACTGGAATTAATGTTTACTATTTTACTGACAGAATGCATGCACATTTTATATTGAATAATAAAACATGCTTTAAAATTGAACACGAATTGATTCCTATCAGTCAATGATTTTATCGCCAGAGGTTTTTAAAAGATATTCTGTGAATTCTGTCATGTGTGCAAATAGAACATTTTATAGCTATAGTTTTGATACTTTTTGTTTTTGTTTCCACACTTCCCAAATCCTTCAAACTTGTACAGTATATTAATATCTGGGCACTTTGAGAGCGTGGCAATTTTGAGACTTTGGTGAAGGACAACAAAACAAGATAAATCAGCTTCATTTTGCGGCAGCTGTGAATATTAAATAAAAGATCAATATAAAATCCCGGTATGATGCAGGGTGGGAGAGTCCCACACGAGCTGTCCGCGGTCCTGAAGATAAGATGACATGATTCAGATCTCAAGGCCAAGTACAGTGATGTACCTCCTGGCATATTAAAAGCCATAACGCTTCATTTGTAAATCTGTATCTGTCCTTGTTTCTGCTTTAAAAGCCTGCCACTTAAACACCTTTAATCGTGTTAAACAAAATCATCGTGTTTTTATTATTAGCAATAGCAGTAGTTGTGGTGTACTTATTATTATTGTTAGTTTCGTGTAAGTTTTTTTTTTTTTTTTTTTTTACTTTGTTTTGGGGAAATAGACACGTCTCAATAGATAGATCAATAGATATACAATTTTCCTAAAAAGCAGACCGTTTCAAAAGCAGGATTTTGGGGAACTATGATATCAAATGCACGATCAACTGGCGAATTAATAAGTTAAAGGAGTAGCCTAAAAAAAGTGAATATTAGCATTCGCGTGCGCAGGAGGATGTTAACCCACACAGATAGATAAAATGTCCATATATTTGTGTCCTTTATAGAGTAGAATAGAATAGAATATCTTTATTGTTATTGTCATTAAAACGACGAAAGTTCAGCAGCTCACAAGGATTGAAAAAAATAGAAAAAGCATAAATATAAGAAAGTGACGTAATGTAGGCCTACACAATAGTTTGTGCAAAATAAAACTAAAACAAACAATATAGTGCTGTGACAATATGTAGAGATACATATCCATATGATATGTATAGACAACATATTTATGACATTTAACAAATATACAGACAGACAGACAGACAGACAGATAGATAGATAGATAGATAGATAGATAGATAGATAGATAGATAGATAGATAGATAGATAGATAGATAGATAGATAGATAGATAGATAGATAGAGAACTATTCGCTGATTCCTATAAACACTAAATAAATTAGTCATAAATTGACATCATGTTATGTCTGCAACACTCATCAAACAACCACGAAGTAAAAAAAAAATCGACCTCAACTTCTATTTATTATGTTATATGACGTCAATGAGAAGGTCATTACAACCAATCAAACTGACAAGGCCTGTTGCCATTGATGGCGTTTAAAGGGCTGGAGAGACTATACTGCAACCTACAGGATACAATGTAGGCCTACAATATCGTCTACTAGCCTACATTAACGAGAATCAGGATTATTCAAATCAAATTTTATTCACATGGTCAAATTATATTATATTATAAAAGATTGTGGACTACATTAGGCCTATTCATATGTTTTCTTTAAAAAAAAACATATCAAAATGAAGATGCAGGGAATATTAAAACCCACGTCATCAATTCCCCAAAGAGTGTAATCTTTGTTATTATCATGCAGTTTATTTGTTTGATTGAAATTTAAACAATTGCTGAAGTTGTTGGGCTCGCGAGGGGGAGAAACGTTCGTCATTCGTAGGCGCCTCGAGAACTCAGTGCTTTGTTTTTTTCCTCGCTGAGTTTCCCCGAGAGCGGACACAGATATATTTAGCAATTCAATATTTATATTTTCTGTCCAGAACTGCAAATATCCGTCCCCCTGTCACGCGGAGAGTAAAAAACACTCTAATATCGACATCTCTGGCAGTGCCGCTCGGCCTCGGAGACTCCTCGTCAGTTGGGCAGCTTTAGTGTAAAGGTCACGAACAACAGTAGAGGAATCCAGCAGTCTAGTGCAACAACGAGAGTCTCAGGCGTTAAACCTTCAAAGTCTTTCACGTATTTGTCTTTTGCACCGAGCACGGTTTCTCCAAGCCAAGCGCGCATCCTGAACGCAGCAGGGACAGCGGGTTTGATGTTGCCGGGGATTTTTTGAGGGCGATTATTTTCTTTACCCTTATTGTTATGACGAGGGCTGATTTTATCTTCACATCCTTTTGTTGTCTTTGATAAAGATGTGAGGCTGCTTGTTTCTGCCTATAAGGCATGGTTGTGAAAATTACCTTCGGAATAGCAGCATTAGTGCGCGTGTATTCATGACCAAGCCGAATGAAAAAAAAAAAAAAAGACAAACTGCGGTGTTGGCCTAATGTTTCAACTTTAAGAGGCTTTCACCAGAATAGATTAGTTTACAGACAAGTAAATATACACACGGAAATTTGTTTAAAATAATCATTGTTACGTGTAATGATAATAAAACAAAATTAGTTAATTATAGAACCATCTACTTAAATAATATAAAGCATGAAACATGTTATTATTATTATAATTATTATGAAGGTACAACAGGGCTAAAGGCGCACCAGGGTAAAAGGTACATTTTATTTTATTTTCCCCTAAACCACTAGATGGCACAAACACGTGCCGCTGCGCTTTCCAAAACATCCGCTTTTCAAGATGCGCGTGGAAATTTGTCTGATCCTTGACACAAAGTTTGATCTAATATTTTATATGTTTTTTTTAATGGTGTAGATTTAAGGAGCCTACCGCTAAAATTAATGAATGTATTTTGAGACTTGGTCTTGTTAATTAGTTTGTTTTTGAGTTTTGTTCAAGCTAATTAAAGCAACAGTTTTTTTCAATAAAGGAAGAATATGTAAAAATAAGGTATTTGGGGAAAAAGGCGCTTCTGCTGTTGGGGTGAAAGACACAATAATTAACATGATAATAAACAGCTGGCTGACTTTTCCATTTGTTGACGTGAAATGGTTAGATTCAGATGATAAATATAATTTATTAAGTTGGCCCACCTTAGAGATAATCACCATATTTACAATGAAACAATCCTATTTAAAAATATGATATTAATCATATCATATAATAATAATAATAATAATAAACCTTTATTATTACTATTGTAAAGCTATATTAAATTATTATGGGATCTTCTTCAATGCTATCAGAATCTTTACTTTTCAAACTAATTTTGTTTCTGTATTTCTTTAAGCTAAATATATTTTTGAATTAATATATTTTAATGACAGTATATTTATTGTACAAAAACTAATTCTTTTATTTATCAAAATTGTTAGCAAAATAAACAGAAAACAGTACAAACTTTGCTAAAGTGATTGTTTTGAACAAGTATTAACTTAGACATTATTGAAAACTAAAATTGTTTTAGCTAAAGTGTATTTGTATCCTTTTTGTATCCCGTGTGTCTGTGGGGCAAAAGGACACCTCGTACGTTTAAGATTTTTAAACAAACTAACAAACAACTTTTATGATTTATTTTCACACAAAATCAATACAAACATATATTTATTCTGCAATTGTATACTATGTTAATAGCGAAAAGCCCATCATTTCTTAAGGTGTGCCTTTAGCCCCGTTGTAGGCTATAACTATTATTTTTATATTATAAATCGACATCGATTTTATTGAAAATTATTAATTTAATCATTAAAATGACGTCAAGCGACTTTCTTTTGTGTTTTTCTTTCACGCTAATCATGGATGTTGGAGTTTTTTTTCGTATGGCCAATTAAGCTCACTTTCCACAATTAATTAGTCGTCCTCTCAGGGGGGATGATCGGGGTCCGGGACGGTAAACTGACACTGCGCTGTGTGTGGTATCCGAGCACTGGCGCAGCGGCTGATGGAAAAAGCCTGCTTCCACTCATGTCAAAATCATTTATCCAGAACAGCCCTTTACAAGAACTTGTATACACTTGGAGAGGGACTTTTTTTTTCGCCCACCCCCATCATGCTTAACTTGACGAGATGCTCAACCAGGTCACTGCCTTACGCGCTCACATTCTTCTCTCTTTGGCGAAGCAACGAACCTTTACTTCGCACGTTATCCGGCTGTTCTTTCGTTGGTCAAACGCGCGAGCAATACTCACAAGAAGTGCGTTCCTATTTCAACCTCCCATCTATTAGTGCCAGAACTCTCACCAAAACACGCCATTAATTACTGGAGGTCTGACAGCGTTCGCCCCGGTGTTTGGCGTGTGGCGCTGTTGATTGAAATGTCGGACTAGGCTTGATAAATGGCGTTATTGCGTGTATTTAGGTTGTCAGAGGGGAGGTGGGGAGTCTCTCCACTCGGACTCTGCACAGCCTCCTGCCAGACCGATAGCTGGAGGCATGCCAGACATGGAAAGGGGTGGGTCTCCACAGTTTGAGGAGATTTCTTGGGAGGAATTTAGTGGGGATCTAGAGGGCAGAGAGAGATTTACGAATTGATAGGTGGTCGCGTTTTGTTTGGCCGCACGTCTTTGCGCCAGAAGACTCTGGAGCATTGAGTTTCCTTCTCTTAAAGGATTAGTCCTCACGATGGCCACCAAGAGACTAAGGAGGGGTCGCTATCCTGGCGACACACAGCTGGTGGCTTCAGCGAGGAGCGCGTCCTGCGAGCAGAGCACAGTTGTGGCGCACTGACCTCGGCCGCCTTGAAGAGGAGTCACAGCAGGCTTTTAACAGAGATTTTCTTGGAGTACCTATCGTTTTCTCTTTTCTTTTCTAGCCTGGGGTGCGTTTGACTCTTTTTTTTTTTTAAAAGACTGACCCCGTCGTTTTACATCCATTCAGCTGCAAGGCTTTAGCAATGACGACGGAAAGCCCTCAGCAACAGCTTGACCCGCCGCCTCCCCTCAGATCCAGCCCGGCGTCCAGCGGCGCGATGCACTCGGCGCTTCAGAGCACACAGACCGCGCTGGAGAGCACGACTGCGACCGGCGGCACCAAAGGCAAAAAGTCCAACTCGGGCATGAGACGCCCTGAAAAGCCACCTTACTCCTACATCGCTCTTATAGTCATGGCGATACAGAGCTCTCCGACCAAAAGGCTGACGCTGAGTGAAATCTATCAGTTCCTCCAGGCTCGCTTCCCGTTCTTTAGGGGTTCCTACCAGGGCTGGAAAAATTCCGTCAGACACAATTTGTCTCTCAACGAATGTTTCATCAAACTTCCCAAGGGCCTCGGGCGGCCGGGTAAAGGCCATTATTGGACGATCGACCCCGGCAGCGAGTTCATGTTCGAGGAGGGCTCTTTTCGACGCAGGCCCCGCGGTTTCCGAAGGAAGTGCCAGGCTCTCAAACCCATGTACCGCATGATGAACGGGATCGGCTTCGGGGCTTCAATGCTGCCGCAGAACTTTGACTTCCAGTCGCCCTCCTCGTCTCTAGCTTGCCACACCAACGGCTATAACCTGGACATGATGACAAATGCGGTGCCTGGCGTTCACGCGGGTTACGATGGCCTTAGTGCAGGGCATCATGTCTCACACATGTCATCGAGTCCGGGCTCCACGTACATGACGGCGTGTCAAGTCGCTTCTAACGGCGAGTACGGGCCGGACAGCAGCAACAGCCCGCTTCACTCGCCCCCGGCGGCCATGAACGGCTCTCTGGAGTGCCACTCGCCGTATGGAGCCGCATCGGCACACTGGGCTTCATCAGGAGTGTCTCCTTACATTAAACAGCAGCCACTGACCTCCAGCAGCCCGACCTCCTCTGGATTACACTCGAGCATGCCTCCGTACGCCTCTCTGGAGCAAAGCTACCTGCATCACAACGGCAGAGACTCGGCCGACATCTCAGGTGAAGCGCCACTGCCCACACGCTCGCTTTAATATACGCATATAAAGTTCATCATGATGTATACCTGTTGTTATTCTAAAAAAAAAAATTGTAACGCTTTATCTTACAGTGTCCTTGTTACATGTAGTAACTATATTAATAATTATAAATTATGCATAATTACAAGCAACTAACCCTAAACCAAATCAAACCAAACCCTAATCCATGTACACTGTTTAAAAATGCTGCCTTCAATGTTTAAGTACAATCAACTTGGATGTTTAAGTAATTTCAACTTAAATTAGGCTACATTAAACTGACTTTTCAGAACCGAGTTGAATCTTGTTTAACTTATAAAAAAATTGAAAATATCTTAACTTATTTTGATGAGTTACAGCAATGTAAATACATGTCATAACTTATTGATCATATACATTTTTTTTTACAGTGTAGTTACTTAATATTACTCAGTACTTAAATGTATAATTACAGTGTAACAAAGACACCTTAAAATAAAATGTAACCAACTTGTTTTTTTTCTTAAATAAATTCTCGTTTAAAGAAAGCCTTACTAAATACCACACAATTTAAGCACGCAAATCGATCTTAAAATCATGTTTGTAGGCTACAAAAGCAGCGAGTTTTAAAAATGTACTCAAGCCTATATTTTTCTCTATGTATGTATCAATGTAGTAGCATTGCGTATCGAAGCACTTCATCAGTGTTTTTAAATAGGCTATACATTTGAATCACAATTATTCTTTCCGTTATAGCCTACCTATTCATCCATATTAATTTACAAAAATAATACAATATGATATTTGAAAAAGACACGAATCACAAATGTACTGTACAGTCATTCTTGTGTTTATTCCCTCAAAGTAGGACAAGTATAAGTAAATTCTTTTCAGAGGCCTAAACAGTTTTAGCCTACGTGTTTCGGGCCCGATGTTATGAATTACAGTTTGTGCGTGGCAATTAAGAAGTGGATTTTCCTGCAATTCTGTTTAGGAGAAACAGTCTAATTAGGAAAATAGCAAATGTCTGACGCAAAAGGCCTCGGTGCGTTTTTTCCCAATCATTCCTTAAGGTTACGAAAACAATGCCGCCTTTGCCAGTGGATTGGTAATGAAAACCCACTCTTTAAAAAAAGGTTCCAAAAGGAGGTTTTCGCAGAATGCATTAAAAGAACCATTTTGGGTTCCGCAGAGAACCTTTCAGTGATCAGTTCCTTAGAAAGGACGAATTTTATTTAGAGTGAAAGCCATTAAAAAAAAATCTAAAGAACCTGTTTCCACTGTAAAGATCCTTTTGTGGAATGCAAAGGTTCAATTAATGTTCTTCATGGAACCATCAATGCCAGTAAAGAACCTTTATTTTTAAAACTAAAGAGGAAAGGTTCGGTCTGTATTATATGCGATGCTTCGGTTCATGTGACCCAAAAATATGTTTTTTTTTTTTTAAATGATAAGAAAATTAATAATTTCTAAAAATTCTAATAATGCGTTGAAACAAACAAAAGAGGGAATTGGATATTGATTGAACAGCAATTTAATATTATTCGAATTTTAAATAATATTATTATTAATTTACAAATATGTATATTAAAAAACCATTGCCATTGTTCTTTAAAGACTAAAATGGCGTTGAAATTACTATAGAATACATCGTTTGTGTGAATAAAACATTAAAACGTTTGTGTCTTCTAAAAAAATAATATTAAATGTAACTGACAGTGTGATAGAAAGCATGCACTTCTAAGAAGATTGGAGGCCTTCTTTCGTTGGCGATATTATATATTAATAATTGTCTTTATATTTTCGTCAGCAGGAATGTCTCGATACCAGAGCCACTCATCGCCAGTCTGTGACAGAAAAGACTTTGTGCTGAACTTCAACGGCATCACATCGTTTCATCCCTCCAGCAGTGGATCCTATTATCACCATCAGCTGCACCATCAGGGAGTCTGTCAGGATGTCAAGCCATGCGTTATGTAATTTCAAATCATAAATCATCACGTACGGACTGAGCTCGGAAATGACGAGATCGTGTGTGTGTGTGTGTGTGTGTGTCTGCTTGATGCACATCATCAGTTATCGACGAAGAACAAATGATCTCACTGAGAGAAACCATGAAGGAAAAAATGAACTGATCGGAACTGAGGACTCCAGAGGGAGTGATGGAAAGCTTATTAAATATATTTACTATCTCGGAAAAACCTCGAAACTTCTGCAAAAAAAAAAAAAAGGAGACACGAAAAACGGGTTTATCCCAGTCCATAATCAATAGCCAAGTCTTTTGTATGAATTGAGCACATTTGCAATGAGGATGAGAGGGGGATATGTTCAATAACTGAGCATAATAAAGTTGTAGTAAAATGAAAACGTGTTATTTTAGATGCACTCAGCAACACCGCGCGCGAGAATTCAGCGGTGTGGGGTCTGATGCGTGTCGCAAACCCACCAACACAAATCATCTTATCTTCTCTAAACCTTATGTGTGTTTCTTTTCCCACCTCTTATATGTCCAGGGGTGAATGTGTGGATCTGTGGGTAATTTCTTGTGTAAAATAAAAGAGGCCTGCGGAAACCATCATAGAATAATAATGATTGCACTTTTAGTAGTTTAACAAGTTGACAAAACAGTTATGTACAGAACAATAAAACGATGTATTCTCAAAATCAGTAAGTGTATTTATTCATGTATTGCTTAATATTTAAATGAGTTAGCCTATTTGTTTGTCTGGATAAAAAAAACCCTCAAAAATATTTGAACCAGCAATATTTTTGTTCATTGTATTTATTTGTGCAATTGCCTTTAAAAGTACATTTTAGAAATAAAAATAACTGGCTTCTTCACAATGAAATACGCACTTGAGGAGAAAAGAAAACGTCCTTCTTGGATTGTTGTAAAAATAAACATGTAAAAGCGGATACAGTAGAGATAATAAACGATGAAACTGGGTTACGACAGTTATGACAACACAACTCTGTCACACTTTCGACCAAATTATGACCAATATAATCACAGTCATTTAGTAAAACTCGATCGAAGGCGCATTCTAAATGAAGCATACAAATTATGAATAAAACGGATTAAAACACATTTCTCAATTCGATCTCAATAAACTTAAGCACGGGATCTTAGTGCCATTAAATCAATAATCAAATAAAAGCGGGGGCCAATTCTTATAGCTGAATTTGATTATTAATGATCGACGAGAAGATCGAATAGAGAGAGAGTGAGAAGCGTGTGGAGGTTTTCTCTGCTCATATAGGCCTAGTCGCAGAACTCCTGAAGTCTGAACACATGGTGCAATGTCTCCATCTACTGTTATATCAAATACTGTGTAAAGTCATAATTCATAATAATGTGTAATCCTTAGATTATGTTTCAGCCTTATTAGAAAATATGTTTAGTATGTATATTGAAGCATTACTTTATGTAGCGTAGGCCTACATTCTTTTTTTTCTTCTCAAAATCATACACTACTAAAACGAAACTTTTTCTAGTAAAAAAAAACCCATCAATATAATCCTTTGTCAAATAATAACACTTCAGTCGTCCAACCCTAATCTTTTTTTTAAGTAGCCTAAATATAATTTCCTACTATCCTAAATGTAAATGTATTACATTCTACTGCAATAAACGTCCATGTCTTGGGATATACTTTACTCTTAAAAAGAAAGGCTACTTTACGGTTAACTAAAATAATTGTGCTAAGCTATTTTTCCAAATAATTCTTTAATATTACGTACGATTTTACTTTTTTTTTAAGTGCATGAATTTAAAGCCTTACATACGCATATTCAAACAGAATAATTGTTGTTCATTCACACTTTAAAAAAAAATAAAGCGTTCTAAAGAATAACGCAAGTTTTCTAAGTGAAAAACGTTAGAACGCTTTAGTAAAACTTGCTTGCCACTACAGTTTGAATCGGCTTTAAATGTCCTTATTGTATTCTTTAGTAACCGTATTCAAAAGTAGGCTACCATATAGCCTATAACCGTGTCTGCTGATCTGCATGTCAATTCATTACAATTTATAATTCAGTTGATGGAAATAGCCATTCAATGACGCAAGAGCTTGAATAAACAACAAAGCTAACACTTAATTAGTAGCCTTGATTAGCTTGTTCAGGTGTGTTTGGTTATAGTTGGAGTTAAATTTCTCCGGAAAGTGAACCTCGAGGGCCAGAGTTGCGGATCAGGCTGTGTTCTGCAGTTGTCATGGTCATTTCAGTTGATCAGAGTGAACACGGTTGCGAAAGAGTTCGGCTTACGGACGCGCCACAGTGGACACTCAATGAAATTGTGTTCTTTATCACGTTCCTCACATTTAAAGAGGAAAGGAGGACAATGTCTTATGTAATTCGTCTCACCTGCCAGCTGTTTCTGCTGAAATATCGCCATCTTAGGACAGTTTTCTTCACACACAGATTTAAAAATATGACTAAATAAACGACCAAACCGGTAGATAATGTGAAGCTCCCCGAAATAAAGAATAAAGATTAATTAATGGAGTGAATTTAGACTGTGATTGTGTGTGATGACCATTTGCTGTAAAAAAGAAAAGAAAAAAAAGCATCTGCACAAATGAGACATTTGTGACTGTGATTCACTTACGAAAATGAACCATGGTTTTATACAGTAGGCTATTACTGTAACTGTCATTACAAAAGGCGTCTTCGTCAATTATCGTTTCCACAGGGCTCTCTGATTGAATGGTGGATGTTTCAGGCCTTTGACTCAGTTTTTGAACTTGTTGAATCTGCCGGCTGACAGCCCCACCTACCGGCCGGAACAGGTATGGTTACAGGTATTGGACGCCCCAGCGCCCAGACTCATCCATAAACTATTATTATAATTAATAATAATTAGCCTAATATATTTCGGGTTCATGACCCTGTAAAAAGAAAAAAGATTTTCCAAACGATTGTCAGACTTATTGCTCTTGATTTCAGTACCCTTAAAATAATTTTTAAAATGAATTGGATAAAACATTGTTTGGCCCAGGATAATTGCTGCTATTGTAACTTCCCATTACACTGTCAAATTTTCAGAAGCAATTGCTAGATGCTTGGAAATTATAATTTATAATTAGAATTATAACATAATTTATCTCCACACTATGTGGAATACTGTGTAATAACCAATATATTTTATCAAGGTACAAGACTATATTTAAAAAAAAGAATGGTTTGATAATAAGGGAATTTATTTTGTTTTAGATTTGCTAAATAGTAATAAGGCTCATATTTATCAACAATTTACTTCCATCTCTGGCATATATAAAGATCACCATTTGCTTGTGAAAAGCATCTCATTTAAATTGCTTCACCTTGTGAAAGCACATCTCCATTATAATTATTATATATTTTTTATTGGAGGTATTAATATTTTGGATAAGAAATGTAATCATTTTTACATTAGAAAGTGTCTCACTTAAGATTCTAGTTGTTAACCAAAAGCACTTGTAATATGGTCAGAGAGAAATTAGTTTTTATTGCGTAATTGCATAATGAATACGTTCATTTCGAAATATTGCATATATATTATTCTTGCGATGCTTTTCTTAAAAAAAAAAACAAAGACGACATATCACCACTATGCTCTTCTTGCAACCTTGAACCTCAAACTCTCACACATTTATTTTGTAACTGTAACTATTCTGCAGAGTTTTGGAAACAGATATCTATGATGATTTTTGATGTATTTTACAAACGAGTTGCAATAGATGACATATGATCCTTTTCTTAGACTGTTATAATTGACAACACATTAAAGTTAATAATTCTGTTTTGGGAAGTTAAATTTACATAAATCTAAGTTAAATTATTTGAGTTTATTTATTTTTTTGTAAATATTTTTGAATGCAAGAAATAAGAAATGTATAAAAAAAAATCCCTTAGTCTGAAAAAAAGTAATTTGCAGAATCTAATGCTTTACCTTGTATGAAACAATTGTTTTTCTGTATTCTAAAAACATGTGTATGAAGATATAGAAAGATCTGTGAATTCACATAATGTGAATAGATGACGATTGTTACTAAGGGATGGCTTTAAATAAACCAATAAAAAGCAATTTTATTGTGGGAACGCCCAACTTCCTTTGATCCATGCACCAATTCTCGAAGGATGAAATCCATTTTTTCTCATTCCAGAAGTAATTTTCCCTCGAATATGTCACTATATGAAGCTTTAATTTAGTTTTAATACTTTTAATATTTCACTTCACAAACTGAAAGTTGAGTTCGACAATACAGCTTGCAGCTCCCTCTGTTGGTCAAATGAATCACTATACGATTGCTCTGGTAACCAGCTATCTATTTTGCTCAGGCTTTTTCCCCCCTCTTCAGCTTTTGGTGTGCTGTCCCAGAAAAAGTGTACAGAACCAAGTCTTACCAAAGAATTTTTCTTGTTTGATAAAAAGAAAAAAACCCTCTGTGCAGTACCCTCAGACAGTGCCGGAGTGGGCCTGTTTTTAGCCGGGTATTGTTTAATGTCCAAGACAAGCCAAATTTGGATTTAATTTAATCTCCGCAAAATCTGGAAGTACACAGCAAAATTGACAGAGTTAATTCAACTCTAGTAGAGTTAAAAATCAACTCCAAACGAGTGAACATATTATCCCAATATTTTCAGAGTTACTTTTTCAACACTATGAGTGAGTTATATTTACACTGTATCGAGTTAAAAAACAACTCTGGTCCACACCACAGGGAGATGATTGGTCCTTGACAGCAGTGTAAAGAGTGACAGTTTAAAACTATTACGATAGTTCCCTTTCAAAAGGGAACTCACGCTGCGTCCTCTTGTCTAGAGTCTAAACATGACAATGAATTGACATTGGCAGGCGGCAGCCTATGACGTCACCACTGGTGTGACCGTGAGTATAAAAGGGCACTTGTGAAATACACCATCCTCGTTTTTTGTATTCAGGAGACCGTTTGTTTGTCCATGAGTGGGGAGCACGTGCGTTTGGCTCTTGAGGGAGTGGAATGCGCACATTGTGAGGATTTCTCAACCTCAGTTCACGCCGTCCCTATTCTCGAGGGATGTGGGATGCACATTTGGGTGGACAACTGTCAACTCTTCGATGAAGCTGGATATGCTAGGTATGAAGCATTCATGAGACTGACTACAGGAGACAGGTAAGGAGCTTTTTCCTTTCTGCTCTCTCCTGAGGGATAGTAGTTAGGGTTTGCATGAGCATGTTCGCCTCTCCAGGGAATGTAAGGGACTCATGGCGATGCATTTATGATGCTTTTCAGAGTGATAGAATCTGATGTTTGAACTAGTGCGTTTGAGCATTGAGGGGGTAAAATTCACTTTTTGCGATGCGGTCGCAGTAATTGGTTCCACCTGTGCATGACTCTCTCCTGAGGGATGATAGTTGATCACCTGCACTCTGCGGTTT